ATGAAAATTTTCCAGTGTGAAATCAAGGAGGTACCTCATGACACCAAGGATGAAGATGAAATTCTTGAGAGTGAGTTTTTTGATACAAGGCAGGCATTTTTGAGCCTTTGTCAAGGAAATCATTACCAATATGATACCCTGAGGCGTGCTAAACATTCCTCAATGATGGTCCTTTACCACCTTCATAATCCCACTGCACCAGCATTTGTGACAACTTGCAACATTTGTCACCTTGATATAGAAACTGGTCTAGGTTGGCGGTGTGAAGTTTGCCCAGATTATGATNGGCCTCGAGTGAGTTTTGGGTGGTTAAACGGATCAATTTTGGACTTTGGACTTGGCAGTTTTTGCTGGTTTTTGTTGCAGTCTAATTGTTCTTCACGTTCGCGGTTAGGGACCCGCGTTCGTGAAGGGTGTTTTTGTGTGATGATATTTTTTTCTATGCGTTTGCGAGGAAGAGGACGCGAACGTGAAGGTGGAGGCTTCATGTGCATCGCGGACGCGAGACGGGGGTCGCGTTCGCGAAGAGGAGTAAGGTCGTTGGGCACCCCAGGCCCATATGATATGCATTCACGAGAGTTGTATCGCGTTCGCGAAAGCCTGGTATGGCGAAGCATCGCGTTCACGTGGAATTGTCCGCGTTCACGTGGAATTGTCCGCGTTCACGTGGAATTGTCCGCGTTCACGAAGGGAAAAGTGGAGAGGCAATGAATTTGGTCTACGCGAACGCGAGAGGGCGGTCGCGTTCGCGAAGAAGGAAATTTACCTGGAGCAGAATGTTTAAAAGTGAGTTTCGTGATTTTTGGTCTATTTTCTCCATTGTGGAACAATTTTTGGAGCTTTTGAGAAGGGTTGAAGAGGGAATTGGAGGGAAACATTTGGAGGTAAGATTTTTTAACTCTATACTCGATCCTATGTTGATTCTTACTTGTTTAATCATGAAATATGTGAAAATTTAAGCCAAAAATTGGGAAATTATGGCTTGAATTTAGAGAGTGTAAATTGGGAATTTGAGGGGGCAATTGAGGTCCAATTTTGATGTTCTTGGTATGCATAGACTCGTGAGAGGATGAGGATTCTATTGATGTTACTTTTATAGGATTCTGAGACGTGGGCAAGGGGGACGGGTTTGAGTAATTTCGGGATTTTTTGATGTAAATTGGATATTTTCGAGTGGGCTTTGTTCTCTTAGCATATTTTAATGGTTATGTACTGATTGTGGCTAGATTTGGAGCATCCGGAGGTCGATTCGTGAGGGAAAAGGTATCGCGAGCTAGAGTTTGGACCGGATCGAGGTGAGTAATGATTGTAAATGTTGTCCTGAGGGTATGAAACCCCGGATTGCACATCGTTGTGCTATATTGAGGTGACGCACATGCTAGATGACGAGCGTGGGGTCGTGCACAGTTGGGGATCGTGACTTAGTCCATCCCGAATGATTGTTTTACCGCATATTTGATTGAAAACTGTTTGTTATCATCATGTTTTGTGATGAATGCATATTTGGACCTAGTGCCAACTATTTGAACCCTTATGGAATTTTTACTGATATTTCCTCATTGTTTTGACTTTAAACTTGTACTCAGTCATGCTATATTCTACTATTTTCATAACTCAGCCATGTTTACTCTGTTTTAACATATTAAATGATATTTCAAATAATATTTTGGGCTGAGCATCATGTTTTACTGTTGCCCGAGTGGCTTATGAGATTTTGACTGAGTAAGGCCGAGGGCCTGTGTTGTGAGGATACTTTGGGACAGGCTGCACGCCGTAGTAATGATACATTGATTATGATTATGAGGCCGAGGGCCTGAGATTTGTATGCCACAAGGTGGCTTGTTGATATGAGGCCGAGAGCCTAGTGATGATGCCACGAGATGGTTTGATATTGCGGTTGGGCCGTAAGGGGCCCCTTCAGGAGTCTGCACACCCCCAGTGAGCGCGGGTACCTATTGTGATGTGAGATATAGCCCGATGGGCTGGTTTTGTTTCTGAGATATTACCTTAGGGGTAGATTTGTTGACATTGTGCCTGTGGGGCGATCCTTTATGTGTTTATCTTTCCTATTTGCCTTTCATTTGTTTGATTAATTGTTAAAAAGGCATTTTATGAAGTTTAAACGGAACTCAATGATTTTACACATCTTTACTACTTCACTATTTTTACTGGATTTTACTGCTTCCTTATTGCCGGTTATGTGCCTTACGTGATTTCTTACTTCTTAGCCTTTATTTATGATTATTACTCACTGAGTCGGAGTACTCACATTACTCCCTGCACCTTGGGTGCAGATTCAGGTATTTCGGCACCCGGTAGTGGGTATTGGTTGACCAGAGACAGAGTCATTGGATTTTAGCAAGGTAGCTTCCGACGTCCGCAACACTGCTTTTCTCCCTCTTGATGTCATTAGACTGTATTTAGTACATTTTTAGACTTTCTGTTGTATTTAAACCTTAGTAGATGCTCGTGACTTGTGACACCCCGATGACGTGCTGTATCTATTTCTACACTATTCTTTTAAACTTACATTATGCAATATATGATTAATTAAAAAGGCTTAAATTGACTTATTAAAACTATTGAAATGAATTTGGGGATTGTGTCGGCTGGCCTTATCTTCACGAGAGGCGCCATCACGACAGGGTCCGGTTGGGGTCGTGACAAGTTAGTACCAAAGCCTAGGTTATATAGGTCTCATAAGTCATGAGCGGGTTTGGTAGAGTCTCGCGGATCGGTATAGAGACATCTGTACTTATCCTCGGAAGGCTACAGAACCTTTAGGAAAAACTTTACATTCTTGAATTATTATCGTGCGTCATTGATTCAGCTTGAAATATAACCCTTTGAATTCCTTCCACAGGTTCGTATGTGCACATGAGCCCTCAGTATCAGATGTGCATCGATGGCTTGTGATTTCCCCGATCAAGGGGCGAGATATGATCTTTGTGTGTTGATGTTGGGCTAGTCTGGAGGACTTGGGGCCAGATATTGCCTATAGCTTGAGCCCTGAGTTGTTGATTGCGTGAGCACGTGCTTCTAGATCTACATATTTTGTTGTGTCCTTATTAAGGGTAATAATGACCGGATAGCTACGTGATGAGTATGTTATGACTGCGAGGTGTATTCATATGATTTGGAAATGACGAGAAGGGTCTGCTGGAGGATGGAAGAACTATTAGGTACTTGATTTTCATCTTGATTTGAGGTATAGCCCCGAGTTATGGGTGTGTGAAGAATCTTTTCATGTTTTCTAGCTGGGAGTGAAGTAAATTTCATGTTGCGGTATGAGTTCAGACTCAAGAAGATTAAGTGACTGCGTAATGTTTATGACGGTGGAAGGTATACAGAACTGTTAGTTTGAGGCGAAGTAGGTGGGGTTATCTCCTGCGGAATGTTCTGAAGTTGTGTGATCCTTATGTTATCTGTTAGAAGATCTCATTTACAAGTGAATTATATGTGTTGAAATTTAAATTTGGGTCACTTAAGAGAGTGGGTTTAACTGTTACGAGGGTGAATGCGAGATTTGCATAAGATTTAAAGTACCAGATGGTCTGTGTTTCACGAGATTATGAAGGATTGAATTTAATCTCACTACGGTATTATGGCAGTAATAGAGTATATACATTATGAGTTATTGTATGATTTGATCTATGGCTTTGAGCCAAGTGGGGGAGTCTGCTATTGATTAGTTGATTGCACGGTTATGTGCTATGTTGGTTCTAGTTTTAGGCATACGGGTGAATCAATTATGGCTTATGGAGATTGAGACCGAGGATGGCTCGAATAAAGGAAAATTTTGGCAAAGGTTATGTTATGCTTCATAGGTGTATGAGAATCGCGGAATGTCTTAAGTAGTTATTGGTAAAGGATGCTCGGTGCATAGGGTAGGAAATTGTTGGGTTGCATTAAGGTGAGGTCACATTCTGTGGTGCCGGAGTGCTAATGAGGTACATGTTGTTTGGTTTGTTTGATCAGGTTAATTGCAGTTTGAGTAGAGTGAATGACTCTCGGGAATGGTTCTAAGGTGTTTAAGATTTTGCGTGCAATAATTGGAGATTTTCAAGTTGTATAATTGGCTAGAAACTGAGGTTTGCATTGGAGGGTGTCAAAAACTTGTGTCATTTCTATATCAATTATGGGATTCTATATATCAGTATTAGGAAGGTAATGGTTAAAGATTCGCAGGAAATCTCTTCGGGGTAGGTATTTTGAACGTGGTGCTTTTGGAAACATTTAAGAGATTACTCATCGGCTTATGAGCCTTAGATGGTATGGTTTTATGCTTGGGTCGCATCTGGTGAATCTGGGTTGAGGAATGGTGGTGTTATAGCAAGAAGAAGTATCAAGTTGAAGGTAAATTAGAAGGAACTCGGATAGATGGGGTAGCTTGGTAGTAGGTTGGATCGGTATGGTAAGGATGGGATTAGCTCTTTGGATGCTTATGAGGTAATGAGTTTATACAAGTGTTTCGCGGCGATGCCCTTGGGTTTTAGTGACATGCGTAGCTTAGTTAAGTTAGAAGGATTCAGTCCTGACGGTTTAGTCTTGTGTGAGTGGAATTCAGAGAGTTTTTGATGGTTTCTACCACGGTTAGAGATACATATTTTCTACGAGTGTGAGAAGCATGGGATGTGTAGTGATTTTCTTTTGAATGGGATCAATGGAAAGTTCTTGGCTAGTTAAGTACATAGTTGATTGTGGCTCGGAAGGGATATGAAGTTCTCATGTTATGGTATATGCGATATGTTGTGGAGGATTGATATTTACATGTGTAAGGTTACGGTTCGGTTCTGAAAGGAAGGTCATAAAATTCTTAGGCAGCACGGGCAGTTTCAGATGATTAAGGAAATGGTATTACTAATTGGTGTGACCTGGCGGGGGTATATGTTTCAGAAAAAGGGCAATGTAATTGCGGTTGACGGTACTTCATTAGTATTGCAGCACTCTCTTATTGGATCAACTGCTGATATTTAAGTTTGCTTGGTGGTACAGAAGAATTATAGAAGTACCTCTCATGGATGTTTGGGTATTAGAGGTGTGTTGCATATTCAGGTGGAATTGGGATCGGATATGGTGATTCATGTGCTATATGGAGTTGGAGACTGGGAGTTCTCATATATAGGTTATGTTGTGGTTGTGGGTCACGTATATCGGCACTATATAGTGACTATTGGGGGTTTGGAAACCCGAGTGGATCTTTTGCTGCTTGGTATGTTAG